TGAAAAATCTTGATTATATGCAGGGGTGAGCAGTATTTGAAAGATATGTATTTAAAATACGTATTTAAATACATTTTTGTATTTTGCATTTAAATATTTTTTTTAGTATTTTAAATTTGTAAATATTAAATACATTTAAATTATGTAAAAAATTTTTTTGATTAAAGTTAAAGTAAATTACACCATTGTTGACTCAATCTAAAGTGCGTTCTACACATAATGTGAACAATGCATTATCCTTGTTTACATTTGGTGAACAATCTTTAGCGTTGTGTCTGAGCTAAGAATGGACAGTATTTGAAGTATAATATATGTCTAAAATATTTTTTTATTTTATTGAGAGTATTTTGTATTTAAATACAATTTTTTGAGTATTTTGCGCACTCCTGATTATATGAAATAAAAAAAATTGAGGTTTCCATTAAAAAATTTTAAGTACTTTGACCCTTTAAGGACATTTTTCTCTAAGTCAACCGAAGTCATCACTTTCTTTCCTCTTAGTAACTAAGCAACTTTTGTTTAAAACACTTTTCCATATTTTTTTATATTTTTTGAGATATTTCAATATATCACTTAAAATGACTCACCCTGTATATATGTGTGCGTGTGTGTGCGTGCGTGCGTGTGTGTACATATATACATTATATATATATACACACTATATATATTTATATATATTTATATTTATATATATTTATATACACATATATGTATATATATATACATGTATATATAAATATATATATATAAGATAATAATAATCCTTAATACATCTTTGGGTCATTCGTGTCCTGCGCATTTCTTTTCTTTGAAATACTAAGAGCTAATTGATCAAATATCGGTCTTTTTTCTATTCCTAAAAAAAGTTTAGCGTCTAGAGAACAGGTTTTGTGTGTTGCCGGCCTCAATCCGTGCGTATTTTTCCTCAATGCGTATCCTTTAATTGCCGTAACTCCGAAATTCATCTCTGGATCACAAATGATTCAACGTGTGTATAGAGTTTGTACATTGTAACTAAAAAATTTTAATTTTTTTTTATTTTTTTATTTTTTTGTTATTTTCAACTAATTCTCGGTTGTATTACGAAAATATTTCGCGAATTATTAAAAAAAAATTTAATCCTGGAACAATATATTAACCCTTAATAAACACGATTTTTGGCGCTCTTGTGCTAAACGTTGTCAGTAATATTATATATTATGTTGTCTGTAATGTTATAAAGGACATCCAAATAAATTATAAGTTTTTTAAACACAATAGCAATAATAAAATGCATTGTTGCAAGTGTAAATGCAATATATCTTCAATTTCATTAGCTATTCAATAGCTATTTATGCATATAAAAAAAATATCATTTCAGGTTACTCAATTACTAAATTTTTTGGACACTTGAACTTTTTCTTGTAGTTTGGAAAATATCAATTTTAAGATATTGAATTATATTTTTCCTTTAAACATTTTTGTTTCAGAGTTTCATATTTTTATATGAAACAATGCATTTTTCTCATTTTATTAATTATATTTAGTTATATATTTAGTTATAACAATTTATCTATAATTTGTTATGTATAATTTGTTATGTATATAAATACTTTCTAAAGATGTCAAATATATGTAAAAATCATTTAATAATTTATATATACTTGTAAAAGTAATGAAAATTAATCCAGAACATGAATGACCGAATATATGTAATAAAGGTGCCAAAAACTAAGGTGTGTACTAAGGGTTAATAACCATATATGCGTGCCTTTATTTATATTTAATTAAAAATATGTAATTATTTTTTTTTAATAGTAAACGTGTTAATGCTATAAACACCCTGGTTGAAACATTTTTAGCATCCCATTATATTTACACATCGTATGTGTGTAAATCTGTGACATCAACTCTAAGAGTTGTATAATATCTTTGTAATTAGAACTATAACGAAAGACTGAAATGGAATTATAAGCCTTAACCAATCCATAAATGTGTGATATTTGAAGGGATTTTTATATTTTCTCTTATGCGCAATTCGATTATCTTAGAATAACACAGACAGTCATGCGTAATAATATTTAAAAAATTTAATTTTTAATTAAATAATTTTTATTACATTTATACATGGAATAATTCTATGTATGCAAAAGTTTTTCTTAAATATTTCATTATATCACATATCAAAAGTATTTTATATATGGTATAAATAATCTTAACAAATAATTTATACAAATAAATTTAACAAATAATGATATATAGATATATTTATTTCAATAGCATATTTTAAAATAACTTATTTTGCAACCGTTGTTTGCTGCTTAAATTTTTTAACTTAATATGAAATTTAAGAAGAATATTCATTGTTTTATGTGTGTGTGCGTGCGTGCGTGCGTGCGTGCGTGCGTGCGTGCGTGCGTGCGTGCGTGCGTGCGTGCGTGCGTGCGTGCGTGCGTGCGTGTGTGTGTGTGTGTGTGTGTGTGTGTGTATGTGTGTGTGTATGTGTGTGTGTACACATATATATGTATCGCAATTATATTTCATTTCAACTTCTGTGTTATTCTATGATGCAACTGCGATTAAATCACGATTCTAATTGTTAATAATTATTTAATTTATTAAATTAATTTTGTCATAGGTAAATACAGATGGGAGTAATTTGTTGATAATCTTTATAACATCTTTAATCTTTATAATATTAATTGAATATTATTATAACTTATTATATATTTAGAATCATACCTATAATCTATTTTAACTTGTTTTTTTATTTTTTATATTTCATTATTAATGATAATTCTAGATCAATTATAAAAAATTAAAATCGAGATTTTTACATTTATTTTGTGTCATTCTTTTTATTCAAAACAATTTACAAGTTTATTTCGTGAACAATTTCTATATTTTAAAAGATAGGTTAAAAAAAATTTTATGCGTTATATTTCTGTATATTGTAGAAACATTTTGTATCTTATATTTATTATCCAAATGTTTAACCATCTGTAATTTACTGCGCGAACGCTTGTGCGTATGAATGTACCTATTTATATATCTAAGTATATTTGTACTTATACAAATCTTTTCTACAAAAAGAACAAAAAGATTATCGTATATTTCCTACTTAGATGTAGTGACGTTGATATCAAGAACGAAATATCAGTGAGGTGTGTTTCCTACGTCACTTAGACTTAATTGAAAATCTTTTATTTCAGAAAATACAAAATAAAATATTTTTCCAGCTATTTGTCGACTATTTCTTTTTGTAAAATACCTCAAGTTCCTGACTATTCAGCTTTCAACGTTGTCTTTTGTCTTGTTATAAATCGATATTATTTGACATTGAGTGAACAGCATTGTGCTTTATGAATATGTATAAGAAAAAGTTCTTTCTGTTTAGTCACGCAAAATAGAAATGTGAAAACTAAAGAATTAAAAGTGTGGGTAATATTTGAAATACAGTGCGAGCAAACAGTGAAAGTAGTTTCATGTATCAATTACAATCGATTATGTAATTATATTGTGCATCAACTTTAAATTATTGTAAATATAATATAAATAGAAATATGATCATGCAAAAAAATAAAAAAAAATGAAATTATAATGTTTTATTTGATAATATTACATGTACTATTTAATAATCATTTTAATAATAATAGAGAAATAGTTTTTATTTAGATCTTTTGCAAGTAAAATTAGAAATTTTTGTATTATAAGTAATTGTTATTGTTTTTTATAAGATATTATTGTTTTTTATAATTTTAAGAAAGAAAAATAGAAAATTTATATGCAATTTCAGTTTAATGTTTCACGAAACATTAAACTTGCTTATATTTTCAATATAAACAATCACTAATACTTATTTCCATCTATAAATATAGATTAACTTTAATCTCTATTTGATTTTTTCTAATTCTAAAAATTAGAAAAAAATTAAAAGTAAATTGAACCAAAAAAGTTAATCTATCAATGGAAACGGGCATAAGAGGTAAGGGATAGAATAATCTTTGACGGTTCAAAAATTGTACGAAAAATTATCCAGAATGATCAACACGCGATTTAATGATTGAATTATTAAAAGAATTTTCTTGTACCTAGAGTGACTATACTCTTTTTTTCCGGATTCTTTTTCGGGCGTCCGAGGGCGGATTTTCAATGTGTATTCTTTTTTTGTACCATTTTTGGGACTTGGGAGCGAGCGAGAGGATCAGAAGTTATTAAGTAAGTGTGACATTGTCAAACATAAAATATATTAACACATAGTACGGAATAAGCATGGAATAAGCATGGAATAATTAAGATTGCTAAACCAATAAATATTCAGCATAAAATCAATATATTGATTTACGTAAGATGCTGATTAGTCATTAAGTTTATTCGCGTTGCTTATACTTTTTGCTCTCAGCATCTTCGCTTTTTCTTTTTTCAACGTCCAAAATATAATATATCTCATTTTAAGTTTACAAATTTTTCACGTAAAATTGTTTTGTTCATACTGTCTAAATGAATTTTAAAGAAGTTTAAAAGAAATACAAAATAATATAAGTTTCAGATCAACAATGTCTGTTTTTATTTTATTCTTTGTTTTTCTTTTTTTTTAATCACTTTTTCATGATAAATGTCCTATTTCACGTGCATTGCATCTGGTCACCCTACTTGTGCCTTGCATATCTTTTATGTCCGACTGAGATGGGAGGGTCTGTTTGATCAGTAATTCCAGAACACCCGGTGTGTAGCCACTACGTGGAGTAGATTAGAACGACGCAGACGGACGAAGTGGTTGCGGATGGTGTAGGCGCAGACGCGAACTGCCTAGTAAACTAACAGAGGCTCTTATGAGACTGACAATCAATGGCATGGCAGAATGCTCGAGACTAAGTTCTCTTTGACCGTAGTCCGTGCAGTGCGCGCAGAGATTACAGTTTCTCACCCTCTCTCTTCAGGGTGTGCGAAGAACACCGCACGCCGATACAGCACATTCTCGCGTGCATGACATGCGAATCCTCGAAAATGAGATTGCGCGCAATAAGCTGTGCACTTCTAATAGCGATGAATCGCGCTACTTTGAGTTAATTAATTAATTACGTCGCGAGCGAGTTATTAAGTAACGTCGAGCGAGCGAAATCAGGGAGTATCTCGTTTCTACTCGATCGACACGAGTCTGCGATCTGTAGCACGACATGCCGTTGTGACATCAATCCGTGATAAAGCGACGAACTAAGCGGTTAGGATCACCGGGTGGACCATGAACCATGGATACGCGGCTCGAGAACGACGCGACTTCAGAAGAGAAACGTAAAGAAGGTATGTGCGACGTTATTCTATACTTCGACGTCTCTTTTATTTTTCAATCCGATGAAATCCGGGAATGGGCATGCGGCTTTTTGCGATAATACGAAGTTGTCTTACCATTATTATTAATTATTACGTTAATGACGAGTTACTTTGTTTACTTTGTTTACAACGTCGGTGAAGCAGTAGTGTCGAATCTAAAATGATCCAGGATGATGCTTACATTATGGTTCTTGAAATGAAGTGAAAATAAATTATAAAAGTAATTATAAAAGTGAACGAATTTACTTGTTGACCAATGAAGTTATTAATATATCCAATAAATTCGCACTTTTATATTTTTTTTTTTACCTCGTACTTTTATATCTCGTAATAAAAGCCTTCAGTTTTGAAATTCTTGTTAAAATTACGTATGTCTACATGTCTCGTCGAGATTCATATTTCAAAGATGATGATGTGAACTATTTTCAAAAGAATGATTTTTAATAATTAATTTAACACTCGCGCGCGGAAAAGATTGTTGAAATTTTCAGATTGAATGGAAGGGCGGGATTTTGAGTTCTTTTCTATCAAAATATTTCATGATATGTGCAACAATTCCCGGATTAGATGGATTTATTCGCCAAGTGCACGCCTTTATCCGAAATCTGCCTTTTGTAATTTTGCTAATAATCGCTTTCTTAATAATTATGCTAATAATGCGTAAAATTCGTGCTTATCCTGCTGAGAACCTGCTATTAATTTCTAACAACTAATGCCGCTAACCAAAACGCAATTCATTCGCTTCATTTCAAGCTCAAAACTGGCTTAACTTATTATATATACAAGTATATAAATGTCGTATACATGTAGCTCCAAACATATCGGAATTGATTTCGTCTCAACTAACAACTTTGCTTTGTCGAGATCAGATATCGAAGCTCGCGGAAGTGGTCTCCGTGTTTGTTCGTGCCAAATCGATACACAAAACGAGCGGTGGTGCTTATAACGTTGGATATTTTTTCTTATCTAAATTATATATCCCTCGGCTTCATATAAATCCTCGTGGCGATTTTGAATATATTACAGCGATAATGTATTGTTCAACGAGCAGAGATCTTTATTGTCGCTAAACTTGCTAAATTGTTAAATTATTGTAATGAAGTATCGAACCAACGAACGGAAACAAGTCCCGGATATTTATGGGCGTTGTTGCATGTGCGAAGCGACTCTTGTGAACGCTAGAGCGTTTACCGCTGATGCACACCTTCAAGCATGTCGGGAGATCAACAAGTACATGCATTCGTAGGGAAGTCGCGGTGTGTGCACCAGGTGCTTCGCATGAATCGATTTCAAGTTTGTATAGCCCAGTGTATAACGTATTGCGCGGCTCAAGTTAAACGCAAATCTCTCTTTCTAATGACATGTTTCAAAGAACGCGCTTAAGCCATGGGTAGCGGAGGAGTTGGTGAAGTACCAACGATATTTCACCCCCGACGATCGCGTACGTCGAATATAACCTTCGTCGAAGATCAGCAGACCCACGGTCCGTTCATCACTCCCATCCAGATTGCGCTCCACGCTTCAGGTAAATCTGCGCGTTGATGTATAGATTGCCTTGGACCGACCTCTATCCCTCCCTCGAGTATCCTTTCAATCGCAGATACTGAGGGGTGAAGCTAAAGAAAGTGATAGCGATTGATAATTATTATTACGAATAATTATTCGAGATTTTGAAATATTGAAGATTAAAGAATTAATGAAGTGTGTGTGTGTGTGTATGTGTGTGTGTGTGTGTGTGTGTGTGTGTTCAATAGTTTTTAATCTCATTTTTAACTTAATAAAATTTTATGTTAAGATTTTAACGATAAAGCAAAAAAAAGACTTAAACAATAAAACAAAATTTTATCGCTTTTTTAATTGGACGCGTCACAAAACAGTTTTCATTTAATTGCAAAATTATATAATGCACTCTCTGTCGATGAGAAATAGAAAAATAATTTCAAATTTTAACTAAATTTTTCCGAAGCAAATTATTTGACATCGAACCTATGGCTGGAAGAAGATACAATGGATTTAAGATGATATCCTGCATAATTATCATCGAGAATTACATTTCGATATTGGTTGGAGAATGCAAAATCTAGCAACGATGAATTTTTATACACACACACACACACACACACACACACACACACACATCACAAAATAGCGTAGCATCTATAGTATTTATATCCAAGAGAAGAGAAATTTAGGATTTTAAGAAAGCCTGATGTATTAGCTCTTTAGTAATAAGTTTTAGTATTAGTATTTTCGCATTATTATGATTAAAGTTCTCGCATGATATACGCATTTCGCTGAGCATATTTCGCCTAATATTATTCAAATAAAACTGCAAAATTTCAAAACCAGGACACGCTTATATTAAATTAAAGAAAGTCGCACATAAAAAATGTCTTTGAAAATTATTTTCTACACATTAAAATTATGCGTGCGCACACATTTTACATAGCTTTTTATTCAGAAGAGCCAGATAAAAATTAATTTAATTAAAAATATTAATTTAATTAATTTAATTAAAAAATAAATTTAATCCCAACTTTTTTCATTGTCTAAAATTTATAATCCACAACGATCTATAGATAGTTATAGTACTTATGATTATATAAATTTAGTTAAAATATACGCTGTCTAAAATTCTCTTTATGCACGAATAAATTTAAATAAAGGTATTATGAGATATTAGATTGAGACATTAGATTCAGAAAAAACGTCAATATTTTAGGATGCGAGCAACAGCAGGGTTGCAGCGTCGTCGACGGATGCGGCGATTCTGCGCCAAGTTGTCGCACCCTAGAAACTACCGGAAGTGCCGGCAGCGGTGGTGATAGTGTGACCGGTAGTGTGCAAACGACAGGTCAAACTCAATCATCAACTCATGTGACCTCTGCTCCAATAGTTCAGCAACTGCAACAACCAAGCTCGATTTCGGCCTGCGTCGCTTCCTGTTGCGCGGAAAGCGCGAAGAAGGTCGATTGCATCTTTAATATGAAGTTGAAATTGCGGATAATAGATGAAACAAAATAGAGATTAGATAAAACTCTGATTAAATGAAAATCTCAATTTAATACTCAAAGTGTTACGTTTATAATGTATAATGAATATGTTTTACTGAAACTCATAGCGAATTCAATCAAACGCAAGTTTGATTGAATTCGCTATGAGTGTTATGTATGATAGTTTATATTAAAGCCGTCGTATTCTGATTTAATCTGTTTAGAAGTAAAATTTGCAAATATTTCGAATTATAAAATTACAAATTAGTATAATTACAAATTTTACTTAATAGCACAATAAAATATATTGACGATTTAATGATTTAATTCGTTTTTATATTTATATTAAACACATTTTTACGTTAATTTGTGTACGCTAATTTGTGACGGCTTTAATGTGCATCAGAATGCACTGAAAATATTTAATCCGATAAAATTTTTTTATGCATGAATATATATAAATATATATAAACATACATAAATATGTAAATATTTATAAACGTATCTATATAATTATATGAAATATGTCTATACATCCTTTTTTCTTTTCTAAATTACTATTAAAAATAATAATAATGAGAAAACATTAAAAATAATTAAAAGAAAAATTTTCGCATTGTTTGTTTTAGAAAAAAATCAAGTTTGGAGAAATGTAAAAGAATTATATATAGTTGCATATAAAATTATACTATTAATGATTTTTA